CTTCTTATTTATTATAAAGAAACATCAAAACTTTTGCACGAAGAAGCTGTAAAAGAAATTGGTGTAAAAAAGTATATTGTATTTATAGAAAAACAGGGATTATATGAAATATATTGTACAATATATTTGTTAAACAAAATTAAATTGTGAACAAAGAAAACAAATTTGTTTCTGATTTGAATCAAATCAGTTATCTAAAGAGAGAAAAATAATTTATGTTACATCAAAATCGTGTAAAAACAGAATTGGTTATAGCGTATGAGATAATACGTATAGTATTATATTTTTTTAATCATTTGTATTTTATTATTTATATAGGTGATATTGTTATGTAAAACATAAAGTGAAATATATCTGTGTATTAATATGAGAGTATATGTAATTATTAACATTACGTAATATTATTATAAAATTATAAATATATGCCATACATTCGCTTTAATGGCAATTTTTATTATTGCTTATATAGATAAATAAGAAGAACAAAAAATTATTAATTAGTTTACGTGGTGTTCATTATACTTCTTATTAGATTTATGAAAAATGTATTGCTGTCGTGAATTGTATTGAAAAATTGGACAAGATAAGTAAAAAATATTAGTCACAAATGTTTTCTATTCTAGAGTACAAAAATGATATGCAAAAAGAAGACAAATTTTGCACAATTTAATAAACTTCATAATTTTATAACGCCGTTACATAGATTCACACGTCAAATTATGCAAGATATTTTCTAGTGCTAATTATAAGTAAACTAAAACCTAAATTTTTTGTATTTTATAACGACGAAAATAGAGAAATTTAATTTATTCAGCCATAAATCGTAAGAAACTAGAAGCAAGATGTACGTTTAATTAAATATTCATTAATGTACCGATCTTTTGAGCTCCTTGAATATGTTACAGAACTCTCAATCTATTTATAATACATATCATATGAACCATATTAATTTATCATACTATTAATTTGCCTGCTAAAATCGCACTCGGTCCACGGTATTTAAAGTTAGATAAATTCAAATAACCGATTCGTGTAAGTAAAAACTAAAATGAACTACAGTTAAAAATAAAATGAAGTAATAATACAGTTAAAAATAAAATAAGTAGTAATACAGTTAAAAATAATCAATAAAATAAGTTAAAAATGAAAAATGGTACAAATAGAAACAATAGATTTGAATAAAAATATATAAAGGTTTCGATATGATTTTTTTAACATCGCTTGACAGCTATGTAGAAATAATGCCTTCGATCAATAAGATGTTCGAAAGTGTCTACATTTTAAACTTTCTGTACGACCTTTTTATTGGTTTAATAATCAAACTGACAGACGCTTCAATTATTAAGGAGCAATATTTATTCTTTCAGATATGTTACATGATTCAAAAAATTAGGTATTTGTTTAAAATATGTTGGGAACTAAAACGTTTTTATACTTTAGCCAAATACTTTTTAATACGAAATAATGTAATAATGTAATATATAATTCTTCTTCAAATATTAAATTACTGTGGAAAAAAGAAATTATTTTAAAACCAATAGAAAATAAAAATTGAACATTAAAATTCAAGTAAACTACCTTTGATATTACAGAAGATTTTTGAACGGTTTATACAAACGTCGTAATGTAAATAAAATATTTTACTTTACCACATAAATAGAACCATTTAGGTACATCTCTAAGGCTGCGATGATATTCTCTGGTTGCATTAATTATTCGTTTAATGATTTGAAAATAATTTTTGCGCTTCTGAGGCACTCATATTTTACAGGATCATCGTCGCCTGTCACATGAAGATGGAGACGTGAACTGGAACTTACGATCAATTTATAATAATTTGCATAAGTATCTTCATTACTGTGAGACCGGTATGAGATCACGTGAACGTTGCTATTTATAAGATCGCGTGTAACGTAACGTGGATCCTTTGTTCGTAAATCACTTGTTGCATAATTCTTTGAATAATTTTCGTTCATCTTGCGAACACCGCATCATTCCAAGTTTTTTTGTGTCAAGAGCCACCGTCTTAACTCCAAACGGATGGAAACGACTTTATTTAAAATAAAGATGAAGCATACGTGCCTGAAATAATATTTGAATCGATTACTTTTAACAATGAAATTGTTCATAAATTTAGAGAAATAATTTAAATAAATAATAAAGTTGTGTTTCTAAATTTCATCTATACGTCAAATATATTCTCACTAAGAATTAATGATACACACATTTTTAAGAGACTATAATGAAAACAATAGACTATTGTGCAGTGATTTAATTACATGTTATTATTAGTGTTACGCATTATAGATTTTCATTGTGAAATGAAATTGGCATTTATATATTATTATACACAATTATAAAAGAATTTTCAGTTAACTTATTAATACATTATAAACAATTTTGAAATTTTTATATTCAAATTATATAATTTCTATATTAAAAGCCTAGAACACAAGATATTCTTAAATACCTTGTAAAAACTTTTCGTTTTCAAGAAACTCTAAAAATAACCACTTTTTAACATCATCTTTTTCGAAGTGATGAAGAAGCTCGTTCCTTTTACGTGAAAATCTACATAGTAAGACACTTATCACCCTCGTCTGATGAACGAATAAGTAGGTTTAATGCCGTGTAATAATGTATGCGGTTTGTTTGTGTCTTTTTAGCGTTATATGTGGTCCATGATCACAACTTTGAGGTAACCGTCCCACTTTACAGGGAACTATTTATTAGCCAATAACTTAAGAGCGAAGCCTGTATCACAGTTTTATTTCCCTTGATTTTTATTTTTAATTTTTGGCATGTAAAATTACCCCTTCATAAATGAACATCTGACAATGACATACGTCGACTCTGACCTTATTTCTGAAAAAGGTTCGAGAA